GTTGAGTTGTTTTCTTTAGATCAGTTGGCTGTGGCAGCCATCTTGAATTGTGTTAATCAGTTTTAGATGTACATCCAGTGATTACGTTTTGCGAGTTCAATCAAAATTTGCCCAGTGGGTTCATGAAGTATTTTGATAACAGACATACATGTATTCAAAAACGTTCAAGACAAAAACAACTGGACTTTATTTGTAACAGAAGATGTTTCGCTTCTCATCCGAGAAGATTTCTCAATTCAAAGAGCAGAGCGTGTGGAGTTCAGGTTGTAAAGCTGAGATAAGATACACATACATATGCAGATTGACTTATCACACCTCACACCTCAAAGTAGGGATTCGTTAAGGTCTTTGTTAATCTAATTCACAGATGAGGCCCCTCTGGTCCCATCTGATAGGTGTGAAACTGCCTGGGTATCAGTCCTAAAGCTGCATTATAAGTTTTTGAAAGGTGAAATCTGAGGCCTCCTCCTCTGTTTAGAGATGGTTTCTCTTTTTACATAAATTGCTTCCTTCACCCCCCTCTCAAACCATCAAAAGAGTGTCCCTTATTTGTGAGGTGAAGGTGACAGCTGAGTCTTGTCCAGAGGAGGTGGCTCTCCTGTGTTGAGCCATGTGTCTGTGAAGTAACTGTTTGGTTTCTAAAATATAGAGATCTGGACATTCCTCATTGCATTGAACTGCATAAACCACACCACTCAGTTTTTATATGGATGTTTTGTCCTTGGGGTTGACCAGCCTCAAGTCCAGTTGTTTTTGTCTTGAACGCTTTTGAATTTACCATGTCCTGGATGACTGAGAATTTTCACCAGCGACATACATGTATGACATTCAAAACACACATTTCAAAATAAAAAGTCACATTGTTGTATAATGTCCACATTCAGCTCTACATTTCCACCCAGTTGCTTTCAGTGCTTCTTGCTTACTCAGCACAAGGCTCCTGTGTCCGTCCCTGTTATGAGACATTGAGCATCATCCAGTGAAGTATCACCAACAGACAGTGCTCAGGTTACAAGGCAGAAAACAGAGGGACAGTGACTTCTGAGGATGCAAACACAACCCGAGGAGACGCTCAGCACAAAACCTCGTCAGGGAAAATTGAAACAGGACACAATATATTTACAGACTGCAGACACAAAGTTGACCAACAACAACAACACCCCTGTTGGATACATCCATCCATCCATTATTTTTACCCACGTCCTCCTTTTTTGGTTTGTGGGGGTCACTGGTGTCCATAACCAGAGGTCACTGTACGAGAGTTGAGGGACACCCTGGACAGGTCTCCAGTCCATCACAGGGACATATAGAGACAAACGAGACAAACATCCATTGCATGTTTTTGGTCTGTGGGAGGAAACTGAAGGACCCGGAAAAACCCACACATGAACAGAGAGAACATGCAAACTGCACCCAGAAAGTCCCCTGGATTCGATCCGGTGACCACTGAGAGGCAACAGCTCTACTAACTGTGCCACTGTGCCCCCCCCCCCCCCCCCCTCTTTAAACAACTTACTTACAGCTTAATGGGCAACGATGAATACTTCTCTCTCTAGCAAGACATGTGGCGTTGTTCAAGCGATGTCTGTACACGGAATCAAGCCTCATCCTTGGATTTGCAACCAGAGATTAATTTAAGGTCTCCTTTTCCTTTCATTGCTATTTTCAGAGGCAGCCCACAGAGAGAGGAACAAGAATGGACGTGGGAAACGGGACTTTCAGGAAGGTCAGGATTTCAATGGAAACAATGTGGATGTATTCTGAAATTAACATTTCAATATCACACTGGAACGTGTGGTCAGATTTGTCACAGTTCTCATTTGACTTGTGGAGTGAGAATAAAATCTGATCCACCTATGAATGCCACTTTGTTTCTAACCGAATCTGTCATTTTCTACCTGGAGACAACCTGCACCGAAGCTGTTCAGCTTCCTGGCAGGTCACATTTGTGTTTATGACAGCGTTGCACACCCCAGTGCTGAACACAGTGGAAAAGAATGAGCAAACAATTGAACTACAAGGCACATGAGCTTCAGGGAGAAGTGGGCTCTGGAAACTGCAGCACTCCCCTCAAATGAATCAGATTCAGGCACACGATGTCCGATTTTGGACGGGGGCAGAGGGGACGTCCAGTGCATGCTGAGGTACAAATGATACTTTGTCAGGACATTTCTAACAAACACAACCATATCCCTTCTGGTGCAAAACAAATGTTTGACCTCAGATTGATGAAACAGTTTAATTCTGACCTCATTGATGAGCTAACAGCTAGAGCAGGACAATCCAGTCATAACTATACAATTTCTCCAAGCTGCGGTAATTCAAAGAGCTATCTACAACAAGTAAGATATTGCTGTTCAAACCCTTTCCACTAAACCACACTTCAAAATGTCTGTGCTGTCCTTTTCAGACCACATTATCAGCGTGGTAAATGTCAGTCAATTACATCAGATTAGATTATCTCCAGGTCACTGACGGGATATAAGTGAGTTTTTACTCTTTCAAGTGAAGACAAAACTGTTAGAAAGTAGCTCAACAAAGATGATAAAAGAGCCAAGGTCAAGATCTACATGTTTTTCTTTAACCCGTTCTGTATGCTCCATGTCGAGCGCTAATCGATAAGGAAATCAGATGGAAATCGTTGTTGATTTCCATATTTAGATGGAGCGATTTCATTTTGGTTTATTAGTCGTCTGGATGTAGAGCGAGGCAGAGCACCTGTGAACACTTTATATTTGAAGAGGTGACAGAATCAGAGACGATACAGACAAAAAGGAGAAGATGGTCAATGAAATATCAATCAATAGGATGGCGAGGGGGAGCTGGGGGGGTG